AAACATCCTCTCGGTGTGCAGCAGCAGTCAAAAAAGCAAATAGAATGTTAGGGATAATTTAAAAAGGGATAGGGAATAAAACAAAGAACATCTTATTGCCTCTATATAAAAGCATGGTACACCCACATCTTAAATGCTGCATACAGATGTGGTTGACTCAGCACAAAAAATATTGACCTGGGAAAAAAAATATAGGTATTTAAAAGGTGCAGAAAAGGGCAAGAAAATGATTAGGGGTTTGGAATGGGTCCCATATAAAGAGAGATTAAAAAAAACAGAAAAAAGGAGACTACTGGGAATATGACAGAGGTCTATAAAATCATGACTGGTGAGCAAAAAGTGAATAAGGAAAAGTTATTTACATGTTTCCATAACATGAGTACTAGCGGTCACCAAATGAAATTAATAGGTAGCAGGTTTAAAATGAACAATAGGAAGGTTTTTTTCATACAGCACATAGTCAGCATGTGAAATTCCTAGCCAGAGGAGGTTGTGAAGACCAGGACTTTAACAGAGTTCAAGATAGAACTAGATAAATTCATGGAGGTTAGGTCCATCAATGGCTATTAGCCAGGATGGGAAGGAATGGTATCCCTAGCCTGTGGCCGAGGCTGGGAATGAGTGACGTAAGAGGGATTGCTTGATGATTCCTTGTTCTGTTCATTCCCTCTAGGGCATCTGGTATTGGCCACTGTTGGAATACAGGATACTGGGCTAGATGAGTCTTTGGTCTGACCTAGTATTGCCGTTCTGAATATGTAGCATTATTTACTGGTTTCATAAAACTAAACACTATGGCCCTTTCTGCACTATGTGGAAGACTGAATCTGCCACAGTCAATCTTCCAGGATTCAATTTAGTGGGTCTAATGAAGACAGCTAATTCAAACTGAGAGGTGCCCCTGTAAGCACCAGTAGTCCTACTCCTCATGAGGATATGGAGGTAGATATTACCAAATCCGAGGTAGAAGCCAAACTAGAACATCTTAATGGGAGTAAGTCTGGGGGCCCAGATAATCTTCATCCAAGAATATTAAAGGAACTGGCATATGAGATTGCAAGTCCATTAGCAAAAATTCTTAATGAATCTCTAAACTCAGGGCTTGTACCATTTGACTGGAGAATTGCTAATATAGTTCCTATTTTTAAGAAAGGGAAAAAAGTGACCCGGGTAACTACAGTCCTGTTAGTTTGACATCTGTAGTATGCAAGGTCTTGGAAAAAATTTTGAAGGAGAAAGTAGTTAGGGACATTGAGGTTAATGGAAATTGGGACAAATTATAACATGGTTTTACAAAAGGTAGATCGTGCCAAACCAGCCTGATCTCCTTCTTTGAGAAAGTAACAGATTTTTTAGATAAAGGAAATGCAGTGGATCTAATCTATCTCGATTTCAGTAAGACATTTGATACAGTACCACATGGGGAATTATTGGTTAATTTGGGAAAGATGGGGATCAATATGAAAATTGAGAGGTGGATAAGGAACTGGTTAAAGGGGAGACTATAGTGAGTCATACTGAAAGGTGAACTGTCAGGCTGGAGAGAGGTTACTATCGGAGTTCCTCAGGCATCAGTTCTCGGACCATTGTTATTTCATCTTTTTATTACTTACCTTGGCACTAAAAGTGGGAGTGTGATAATAAAGTCTGCAGATCACACAAAGTTGGGAGGTATTGCCAATTCAGAAAAGGATCGGGATATCATACAGGAAGATCTGGATGATCTTGTAAATTGGAATACTAGTAATAGGAAGAAATTTAATAGTGAGAAGTGTAAGGTTATGCATTTAGGGATTAATAACAAGAATTTTAGTTATAAGCTGGGGACTCATCAATTGGAAGTAATGGAAGAGAATAAGGACCTCGGAGTCCTGGTTGATCACAGGATGACTATGAGCCGCCAATGTGACATGGCCGTGAAAAAGGCTAATACGGTTTTGGGATGCGTTAGGCGAGGTATTTCCAGTAGGGATAAGGAGGTGTTAGTGCCATTATATAAGGCATTGGTGAGACCTCATTTGGAATACTGTGTGTAGTTCTGATCTCCCATGTTTAAGAAGGATGAATTCAAACTGGAACAGGTACAAAGAAGGGCCACTAGAATGATCCGAGGAATGAAAAACCTGTCTTATGAAAAGAGACTGAAAGAACTTGGCTTGTTTACCTTAACCAAAAGAAGGCTGAGGGGAGATATGATGCAAAAATGCAATTTAAGATACATCGACTCCAGCTATGTTAATTACGTAATTAACGTAGCTGGAGTTGTGTATCTTCTCGACTTTCCATAGTAAAAGACTTCCTTTGTGCCTTTTGTAGAATCAAGTATTAACAGGGACTGCCTTGCTTTACATTTGTAGCAATAACTTGTATATAATTTGGATCACCATATAGCACAGGAAAAAAGCAGATGAGTTTGATACAGTTATCATATTAATATTTATCTTGACAAGTGTAGTTCAGTTTTAACTATTTGGGATTCTGCTTCCAAGCACTGACCTGAGACTTAGAAGACATGATTTCTATTCCTGGCTTTGCTGCTGCCTACTGGGTGACCAAGGCCAGGTCATGTCATGCTCTGTGCCTCAGTTTCTCCATCTAAAAAATGGGGATAATAATGTAGACCTTCTTTGTAAAACCCCTTGAGACTTCCTTATGAAAAGACCTATATAAGAACTAGATATTATTACTCCTGCCATACTGATAATATTCTCTACATAATAGAATTAATGAATGTGTAATATGAAATCTACCTAAAGCTCTGTGTTAGAAGGTCTTTGTTGAGAAATGGAGTAAAACAAATCTTTACCTGATAGCTATCAGGTTTGCAGATCAGCAATGAGAATTTGTTGTTCCTTTAGCTTGTTTATGCTATTCTTCGCTAAGAAAAATCAGGGAAGCGTAGCTAATCCTGCATGTCGAGTGTCAGCAATACTGGAGACAGATTAGGTCTTACTTTGATTTCACTTACAGCTGAAAATCAGGAGCAGCTGTGTTGAAATCAATGGAGTTATGCTAGTGTGAAACTGGAGTAAGTGAGAGGGCAAACCGACACTCATAGGTGAAATCCAGGCCGATGAACTCAATCGGATTTTTGCCATTAATACAGTGGGGTCAGGATTTTATTTATAGCGTAAGCAACTCTTCACAAGAGTGTTGGTTCTTATGACCATGGGGGAAAAGGAGTGTCATTTATTCTTATGCACAAGTTGTCCAGCTTCTTCTCTCACCCCGTCTACTACTAAGCTACAGTAGGTGCACTTAAGTTCTACTGTTTGGAAAGTTTCTATTCCATGTGTTTCCCAGATATATAATGGCAATTCCAATCCACACAGAAAATGCTTCCATAAAACAGTGCAAGCTTTTAATAGTTCTACAATCAATGAAACCAATTTATCATAAAACAAAAACAAGATTTAACCAGTCTGGCAGGCATTATCCAATCTTTCCTATAGGAACTGAATCATTAGGGGAACCTAGTCATTCAGCCTATCATTATGCCATGTTACTGTTCAGATAGGCTATGTCTAGACTGCAGGCTTCTTTTGAAAGAGGCTCTTTCGAAAGCATCTTTCGAAAGAGCCTCTTTCAAAAGAATACATTACCCCGCTAGTTCGAACTAGCGGGGTAGTGTAGACATACCCCCCGCGAGTCTGGATGCTCTCTTTCGAAGACGGCCTCTTTACATTGAAGAACACCTTCCTTCGAAAGAGGAACTTAGAGCGTTCTTCCTCGTAAATTGAGGTTTACCGCCATCGAAAGAAAAGCCGCGTTCTTTCGAAATAATTTCGAAAGAACGCGGCTTGAGTCTGGACGCAGGGGAAGTTTTTTCGGGAAAAGGCTACTTTTCCCGAAAAAACCCCTGAGTCTGGACACGGCCATAGCTACAAACACATACTATTTCCATTTACATGGTGAAAAAGGATTCTGAGAAAGAGCTAGGAGGCAAGCAACAGGATCATTGAGGTTTTATATAGAACAAGGTAGATATTTGATGATTGTAGATGTAGCGTAGAATGGTATTTTTTGGGCTGCACTACAAACTCGCTCATCACTAAACCACTTCCAAATTACAGTATTGTAGATATGTGTGGCCTGGCACCTGAAATCTGCAAAAAGCCTCATTGGAGTTTTACATTTTATTTTCCTTAGCTTACAAGACCCTCAGGGCATGGCTCACCCTTTTCTGTGTATACAGAGCAGACCACGATGCAGTTCCAAATCTAACATGGGGTTTTGAGCTTTACTGTAAGGGTATGTCTACACTAGCCCCCTAGTTCGAACTAGGGAGGCTAATGTAGGCATTCAAAGTTGCAAATCAATCCCAGGATTTAAATATCCTGGGCTTGATTTGCGTCTTCCCAGCCAGTCGCCATTTTTGAAATTTACAAGTCTGGACTAACTGCCCGCATCTACATGTGGCAGGGACCAAGTATTTCAAATTAAAGCCCTAAATTGAACTACCTGTTATTCCTCTTGCAAGGAGGTTTAACGGGTAATTCGATTTAGGGGCATTAATTTGAAATTTGGGGTCCCTGCTGTGTGTAGACGCAGGCAGTTAGTCCGTACCTGTAAATTTAAAAAATGGCGACTGGCCGGGAATATGCAAATCAAGCCCGGGATATTTAAATCCTTGGCTTGATTTGCAATTTTGAATGCCTACATTAGGCATTCAATGTAACCTCCTGGGGTCACATTATGCTCCAAAACCACTGGTAATTGCAGAAAGGTACAGGTTCCGTAGCAGAGACCAAAAAGAAAGTGAAACTATTGTACAATTTGTAGCCAATTTGAAAAAGCTTGCTGAACACTGTGAATTTAAGGAGATGTTAAATGATGCCATACGTGACAGGTTAGTGTGTGGCCTACACAGTGAAGCTATACGGAGGCGTCTGTTAACAGAAATTCAGCTCACCCTACAGAAGGCCATTGATATTGCTGTCTCCCTGGAACTGGCCACACAGGAGGCACAATACCTTAGTGCACCCCCTGGGGTGCATAAAATGTCCCAAGAACCTACTCACAAAACAGAGGGGAGCCAGGAATGTTACCTCTGTGGTAAGACAGGTCACCATGCATCAGAATGCTGGTGTAAGAACCTAGTGTGCCGACAGTGTGGAATAAAAGGACACATTGAGCGTGCCTGTAAACAAAAGAAAAAGAGGCCTGTGGCCTGGCGGAACAAAAAGGAAAATCTGCATACCATCGAGCAGATGCCTGATGATCAAGGTGACACCTTGTCTGAAGAAGAAGTGCCATGCTATGTTTTGTCTTTGAAAGGGGGCTCCTATGAATACTGGGTAACCCCACTGTTGGATGGCAAACCGGTATGCAGGGAAGTGGACACTGGTGCAGCAGTTTCATTGGTCTCAGACTCGGTGTATAAGGAAAAGTTGAAGCATCTTCCACTTAAGGCAACAAAGATCATTCTGAAGACATATACAAGAGAAGCAGTACCCCTATTGGGCACTACTGATGTTAAGGTGGAACTAAATGGACAGACTGCAGAATTACCACTGTTTGTGGTGAAAGGCCATTACCCCTAATGGGGAGATCATGGCTTAGGAAGATCCCAATGGACTGGGCAGAAGTGCACCGGATGACTAAAGAAGAAACAGGTCTGACTGATATGTTAAAGAGACATGCTGCTGTTTTTGGAGAGGATCTGGGAAGTATGAGGGGAATCACCATGAAACTGAACATTAAACCTGGTAGCCAACCAAAATATCTGAAGGCCAGAACTGTGCCATATGCTATCAGACCAAAAGTTGAAGCAGACCTGGAGCGCCTAGTCAAAAATGGAGTCCTAATACCAGTTACCCATAGTCCATGGGCAACTCCAATAGTTCCAATATTGAAGAAAGATGGTTCTATTCGGATTTGTGGGGATTTTAAGGTCACTGTTAACCCTGTTTTATGTGCAGAGCAATACCCCCTTCCTCGCATCGATGACATCTTTGCGGGCCTGGCTGGGGGACAAAGGTTCAGCAAGATTGATCTGAGTCAAGCATATTTACAGATGCAAGTTGATGAGGAATCCCAAGAGCTGTTGACTATTGTGACTCATAAAGGGCTTTATCGTTACTGTCGCTTACCCTTTGGAATAACTTCTGCTCCAGCCTTGTTCCAGAGAGCTATGGACCAGATCTTGTGTGGCTTGCCAGGAGTTCAGTGCTATCTTGACGACATCCTGGTCACGGGTGGGAATGAGGAGGATCACCTTAAGAACTTAGAGGCTACCCTACAAAGACTGGAAGAGTATGGCCTACGAGTCCGTAAAGATAAGTGTGCATTCTTTCAGCCCTCTGTTGAATATTTGGGACACATCATTGATGCTACTGGTCTTCATAAGTCCCCTTCAAAAGTTAAGGCTATTGTGGAAGCTCCACCCCCTCAAAATGTTAGTCAACTTCGCTCATTTCTAGGACTATTGAACTATTATGGAAGGTTTATTTCACAGCTAGCCACACTATTAAAACCACTTCACGAGCTCCTTGGCCAGAAGGCAACGTATTCATGTTGATTTTGCTGGCCCATTTGAAGGTAACATGTTTTTGGTGGTGGTAGATGCTCATTCCAAATGGCCAGAAGTCTGTATAATGCCTTCCACTACTGCTGAGAGTACTATCCAAAAATTACGGGGAATCTTCTGTCATTTGGGTATTCCTGAACAACTCATGAGTGACAACGGTCCACAGTTTGTGTCTCAGGAGTTTGGAAATTTTATGAAAGCAAACTGGATCCATCACATCACTGCAGCACCGTATCACATGGCCACAAACGGATTGGCTGAAAGGTTTGTCCAGACAATGAAACAAGCTTTGAAATCGGTTAGAGAACATTCACTCGTACAAAAGAGTCTGGACACCTTCTTACTATCCTACAGAAACACTCCTCACGCTACAACCAAAGTGTCCCCGGCTTTTCTAATGATGGGACGTCAGCTACGCACGTGCTTTGATTTGCTGAAACCTTCAGAACC